ACATGGACTGTACACTGTGCACTGTGCAAATCACTCCACCCTGGATTTTTGACGTAGGACTACGTCTTTGATTTCTATATGGGGGTACACTTTGTGAAAACTGAAAATGAAACATGTATCCAAATTATGAAAGATTTTGCACGTTAATAACTCAGCTGCCCCTGAACCAATTTTAATAACTTTATCACCAATCGATCAGGGCTACGCTTACGCATCAATATCAATGCTTTTGACTGTTTATGTTCAACAAGAAACTATTGAAAAAGTAGTAAATGTCAAGCATTGTCCAAAAGCGTCGAAATAATTAACAAATCCACCAATTACGTACATGCATATGCTGCTTCCCCACACGGCAAGAAAAAAATACTCAAAATTAAGTTTAAAAAAACTCAACGTTGGGTTCTATCATTTGAAAAGCGGCGTTGGTTAAAATTTACTCAACTATTGAGTAATAATAAATGAACTCAAATATAAGTTTATTTTCATTGAGGTTGCTCTTATGCGCCTTTAACCATTTCAGTTTTACAAGCGTTGATAGACGAGTGGGGGCCCCGTAATCTCAACGTCCATGGTTCGGTTCCAGTCTGCTCCGTTTTATTATTTTTTTGTCAACTTGGTCAACGATCAGGATTACTCAAAATTGAGTTTTCTTCTTTAACTTAATTTTATCTAGCCCCACGGAAGCCACGTGATGAGTGAAAGGAACTCAATTTTGGGTACTTTTTTCTTACCGTGCAGCACAGTCTTCAGAGAGTAGTAAGTAGACGAAACAAGTCGAAGTGGCATTCGCCTCCGATCCTCGGGCGCGTCCGAATAGGGAGGATGGAATTGCGTAATATTTTGCACACTCATCGCCATATTCAGAACCACACGCTCCCAACGACTTCTCATTGGTTACTGTGTATAGCCAATAGGAAGCGAGAAAATATGGTACCGGCAGAGCTGGTTGTCTATCTAACAGGTAGCTTACTGCGCGTTCGCATTAGTTGCGATTCACCCGTTCAACAGCAAATATACAACAAAGGAGGCATGACTGGTCGTGGCAAGGAGTTGGTAAAGGAGTCGCCAAGTGTCATCGGAAGGTTCTGCGTGATAACATCCAGGGCCTGCCATTCGTCGTCTGGCTCGACGTAGTGGTGTCAAGCTCATCTCCGGTCTGATGTACGAGGAAACCTGAGGTGTGCCGAGAAAATGTGATCCGTGATGCCATCACTGAACACGCAGCTGCCTACACGTCATCATCATCTTCCAAAGGCTTTAAGCCTGTACTACCATCGGCCCTTTTTAGGGTCACCAAGAGTTAATTTTCTGAACATGTCCCAACTAAAATTCATATCAAAAGGTTCTTTTCAGGGCAATCATAGTCATACTAAAGAGTATAAACAGAGAGAACCCCGCTAAAATTCCTATTCCTACACAAAACACAAGCTCCTGCTGCAGTTAACAAAAATATTTATTATATCATACCACGTCCTACGTCATCATTGCGTACAACCCCATTGGGCTGTCTCTTGTAGTTTTTCCTGTGGAACATCGTACTATCCAAGCCGGAGGCGCACAACGATCTCAGTTCCGACCACCAACCGGTGGTGACTGAAGTCGGTGTCAACGTGGTTCCTGCTAGAAACTGCCTGCGTAAAGACTACCACCATGTCAACTGGGTGCAGTACGGACGAATGGTGGACAGCAACATCGATGAAAATCCACTGCTCGACACCATAGATTACATCGACCGGACGTTGGAAAGACTCCAACAGGCCATATCCATGGCTGACGAGACATACGTTCGACAAGTTCCTGTGAGGGGTAAGTTTGTTGCCATTGATTCCCACACCCAATTACTGATTCGGTTGAGAAATGTTCGTAGACGCCAGTTTCAGAGGACTGGAGGTCTGGACAAAAAACGTGAAATGACCGATCTGAACAGGCAGATTGCTTCCAGAATGAACTCACTCCGAAATGAAAGTTTCGGGCGTGTTGTCCAGAATCTGGATGACCGCTCCAGACCATTCTGGAAGGTAGCCAAGGTCCTAAAAACCCATCTCAAACCCGTTCCACATCTCAGAGTCGAAAATGATGACGATCGGCTTTTAATCACCCCACAGGAAAAAGCAAATGCGATCGGCGAGCATGTCGCTTCATCGCATTTGCTTGGCTCGACTATCCAACTGCGCAATGCGTTCAAAACCTAGATGCCTCCCCTTATGTCGTGCCTACGGCAGATATGATTACAGTTCAACAGATTTGCTCAGCGCTGAAATGCACCAAGAACATGAAGGCTCCCGGGTTTGACTTTGTATATTCAACTTGATCTTGAAGAAACTCAGCATGAAAGTGCAGACTCTTCTAACCGCTATCTTCAACAGATGCTTGTAACTGCACTACTTTCCAAGCATCAGGAAAGTAGCAAAAATCATACCAATCCGCAAACCCGGTAAGGATCCAACATTGTCTTCAAGCCACAGATCAATCAGCCTCCTTTCAGCGCTGAGCAAATTGTTAGAGAAACTCATTTTCAATCGTTTGCTCAAGTTTGTCGAGGAAAATAACATTCTCCTTCCGGAACAGTTTGGATTCAGAAAGGGGCATTCTACTAATCACCAGCTAGTACGGGTGATGAATAACATCCGAAGTAACAAAGCTGTATCCAAGTCCACAGCCATGGCCTTGCTAGACGTTGAAAATGCGTTTGACAATATTTGGCATGACGGACTTGTGTACAAGCTTTGTAACTTCAACTACCCATTACATCTGGTTAAAATCACCCGTAACTACCTCCAGCAAAGGTCGTTTAAGGTATCGTTGAATGGTTGTCTTTCAGACACGTTTTCCATCCCAGCAGGAGTCCCGCAAGGCAGTCTGCTGCGCCCCTTGCTTTACAGCATTTACACTTCCGACATTCCTTTCCTTGGAGACGGTTGCGTGTTTTTCCTGTTCGCAGATGATACCGCAATAGCCGTCAAAGGAAGGATGCCTCGCGAAATAACGATCAAACTTCAACGATGCCTTAACGCCTTTGCTGATTATGCCACCACGTGGAAAATCAAAATCAATGCCTCCAAAACACAAACGATCATGTTCTTCCATTGGCAACTGCCCAAACTGAAACCGGCTCCATCTTGTACTGTAATCATGGATGGCACAAGGGTTGAGTGGTCCGCCGAAGTAACCTATCTCGGGATGTTGTTCGATGAAAAGCTCCTCTTCCGTTCGCATGTACAGAAAACAGTAGTCAAGTGTATCCGCTTATTTGCCGCAGATCCCGCCTCTCAAGGGTGAACAAACTGGCTGTCTACAAACAAATCACCTGCGATCCTCTACGCAGCTCCGGTGTGGGAATCATGTGCACAGACTCACAGGAATAAAATCTAGGTCGCTCAAAATACCGTATAAGTGATAATGTTTACACCATCGTGCAAATAAGGTTCCCGTTTCACCTGTGCTTGTGTGTTTTCCAAATTTAAAACAAACCAATCTCACAAAGGTGGCCATTTTTAAAACAGGCCTGATAGGTCTAGGAATTGTAATTGATAATAATTGAAATTTCAAAAGAACTAAAGTTGAAAAGACGCATCTGTGTCATTTGATAAGTAATACATGTAAACCACACATATACAAGAAATAAAGATCATTTAGGAAGACAATTTTAGCCTCCCACCCTGAGTTCAGATTGACGGTGACGAAATCGAGGTGGTCGACGAGTTCGTGTATTTGGGCTCACTGGTGACCGCCAAAAATGATACCAGCAGACATTATGGCAGGGAATCGTGCCTACTTTGTACTCTGGATGACGCTCCGGTCGAATAAAATTCACCGCTGATCAAAGTTGACTGTCTACAAGACGCTGATTATACCTTTATACTTAGATAATCATTAGTTTTTAGTTTTTAGTTTTAATATGACAATTGTTATACTAACATGCATATTTAAAAAACCTGAATTTCCAAGACAGGAACAATGTACTAACACTTAGATATTTATCACAATTAAGGCCGTTAAGTAAATCTAGTAGCTGGAGCACCTAGGTTAAAATTAAATGTAATTTAAATTCAATTTGGAACAAATAACGAGTTAACAAAATCTGCTTTACTAGGGAAATCATGTATTTGAAAACTGCTGTTATTTCTCCGCTTTACCATGCCTAGTTCCCCTCAGGAAAAACACAGTTTTTCATTTCGATACACCCAAATAAAAACTGGCATTCGGTTCAGCATCCAACCTGAGCCATCTGCGATAAGAGTTCGAATTAGCAACGAAGTCAATTAGTTTACCTGTCGGTTTGAATTTCAAAATAATAAAAAAGCAACGATACACTCCCCCAACCCATAGCCTGCTTCTCATTCTGAACTCCATCTACGTGAAGCACGTTAGAACAGATTTTGCATTTTAGCAAGGCTACCTTCTCCTATTCCTACCTATACTGAGAAGGTGAGCAGCCCAACGCATACCACAAGAACGGAACTCTCGCCTCCCAAGGGTTGCTGGGGTTGTTGTTGTTGTTGCTTTTGTTTTTGTTGTCGTCGCTGTTTCTAGAGGGTATGAACAAGCAGTGGCAGCAGCAATGCTCGAGCTCTCCCCATACATCAGCCCTGTAGGTGAAAACATGAAGCGCTCACGCCATACAGAACCGGACGGACGGAGGGGGAGATTGGCGAAGTCGAGCTGTACTGTGGTTGGGGAAAAATCGATAATCCGAGACGTCGGCGACGACCAGCAACGACGGGTAGTAGGTTGGTTTGCAGAGGAAAGGAAAACCCGAAACGAGAGCAGGCACACAGAACCCGAATGAGCGACTTTTCAGTTCCGGGAAGCAAACCCGGTATAAACATTTTTTTTCTGTCCACCCTTCCCTGCCTAGATGGTGGTTTGGGAGTTGTTACGTCACAAGTGACAAGCCCGAGATCCCGCAGTCGGAAAGATCTTGGGGATCGCTTACTTGCCCCGAAATGGGGCCACTTTCTGTCATGAAATGGCCGTTTTTCCTAGGAAAAAGCTCTCACCTGGCTTGGGGCTGCTGCTGCTGCTGTGGTTGGCTGGATGACGGATGACAGGAAACAGGGCTGGGCTCGACGCACTTGCTCGTTGTTTTTCTTTTTCTTGAATGTGGGGTTTTCCTCCTTTCGGTAGGAAATGACGGTAACACTCTCCGGTTTTGCAGAAGAACAGAAAAGAAGCGAAATGGAACTTCCGGTCTTTAGGGGCTTCCGTTGTGGATGCAGGGCGGAAAAAGTTCAACCACTGTTGCGGTGAGCAAATTTTCCCAAAATGGGGAGCTTTCCTCCAAATGGGGGCTACGAAAGGGTGGGGTGAAAACACTTCAGTTTCTTCTTGTTCTACGCACTGGCCAAACCGTAGCTGACTTCCGGTTCCGGGATTCCTTCTCACAAGCTACCGGGTACCGAGGAACTCTGAATGCACTATTTTCTGCGATCCGCGCGCGGCGAAACCGACAACTAGTTCCGGGAACTGAAGATCGCGGCACACGATTCCGAGGAGATAAATTCGATCGGTCACAACTTTCTTCCGTACACTTCTCCGGCTCGATAACTTCAGACTTTTGACAACTTAAAAATTGATGCCACAGAGAGCGGAAAACCGATTTTTGAATTGGTGTTTTATTGCGAAAGAGCGGTGTGCTTTTGTTCTGTTTGTTCTGGTCGCTGATGTTACGATGATGATACACACGGTTCTGCTGCTGATGGGAAGGAGCCACACCGTCGTTGCCGTCATGCGAGAAAAGCAGACCGCGAAAACGAACACAGTGCTAGGCCGTAGTAGGTATGGGAAATTATAACGACGTCGGAGCGCCGCCGCCGGGGAGGATGGGAAATGTATCGGATGCACGCACACATCCAGGACCAAAGGGACCCACTTTTGCTGGTTTTCTCCCCCGACGTACGGCAGCGATTCTGGTCTGCTTAGGTTGGATGGGTGTATGACGGAGGAGTAGATGTATGAACACTGGTTATCAGTTGGGGGTGGCGCAGCGTTGCCAGCAATAGAATGTGGAAAATTTGGTTTCGGTTGAGCATTTTTTGTAATTATGCGTACGGTTGAAATGTTTTATAAGCAAATTGAATCGAGTAAACTTAGGTTCTGGTTCGTTGTTGACAGTTGTAGCACCGACGAACCGACATGCCACTGGAGCATTTCGTTTGTCCGCAATTCAGGGGAAACATGTCAGAAGGGTATAACTCGAAACGTAAACAATGACTTTGAACGTCATTTCATAGAGCAAACATTTCTCTGTCAGATGATTTAGTTAGGTTGAGTGGGTGTGTTGTCATTCGTAAGAAAAAGACGATCCAAGTCATTGTTTACGTTTCGAGTTAGAGCCTTCTGACATGTTTCCCCTGAATTCGATTTGTCAAATGAGCTATTCGATCTGTCAAACGGTCGATCAGATCTGTCAAACGAGGTGAGACACAAACCAAGACAATGTAAAATTCACGTGTGATCGTGTCCTTGCTAACGATATGACATGATCAGATGAGTAGATGGCGGTAATGTTTTACGTATTTTAAATATGGCGTCTTAAGAAAGAATTTGATTGCAGCTTCTATGAGCTGTCACGTCGGTTCGTCGGTGGTTGTAGTTCGTACAATTTCAATTCTCATTCTTTATAAATTGAGCGGTACATTTGTACAATTGAGTTGCTCAATTTTACATAAAATATGGAGTGACTTTTTAATGGATCATTGTCACTTTTATAGGGATTTTCACCAGGTTTTTAAATAATCATTTGGGTGTTTTTATGGGTCGTTTCATCAAATTCTTAAGGTGTATACATACTTAGGGCTGCCGAAAATGTCTATAATATTACATAAATGAATATGACAATAAATGTATTGAGAGTGCACTATTCCGATACAATATCGGAGAGGACTTGTGGTAAGTTCTTCTTGTTTGTGCCAGGTGCTGGACTACCATCGGGCTCTGCTGTCTCTCATGCTCGCAACTTTCTTCTTTACTTTTTTTTAAACTCTTTATTTGTTACAAATTCAAATTAAATTACATTTCATTTTTTTCTAGGTGCTCCATTATTAGTTTTTATAATATAAGTGTGTTTGTATTGTTCCTGCTTTGGCAATTCAGTATTTTAAACTGGTTTCCTATGTCAGTATAACATTACAACATAATTGGCATCTTGAAACTAAAAACAAAAACTAAATCTTATCCAAATATAAAGGGAATTAATCTTTGCTATTGAAGATTGCAACGATTTGACATTTTTCTCTAGGGTGTCCCAGAAAGTATAATTGCAGTATAAGTTAATGCACTCAAATTTTTGTAGTATTCTCTTTCAATTGGATGAAAATAATCCGCAGTTCCTTTAATCGTATGCCAAAGAGCGAACATTTGATCTGACGTTGTTCATGAGCTTTAGCAGGGATTCCTTGGCGAAAATTTTGACCACTTTTGTCCAGCCTTTTTTAAATCCTTCGATTGAATTCGCTGGCTTAAAGTGTTTCCGTAGATATCTCTTGGAAAGGGCCCAAATATTTTCGATTGGTTGGACTTCCGGATAATTCGGAAGATTCATCTCTTTTGTCACGTAGTGCACAAGCTACCGTGTCTTTCGAGTAGTGCATTGACGCCAAATCGGGCAAAAATAGTACTGGGCCATCATGTTGACGGATCGTGGGCCGCAGACGCCGATTCAAATACTCCCGTACGTAAATTTCAGTGTTCATCATCTCCTTCGTCACAAATGGCTTTGACAACTTGCCACACTAACATATCACTTTCCAAACCAAGGCCTACTTACCAAATGTTTCGGTAAACATTGACTTATCGGCATTGTTAACTAGCTGACCATCACGAACTGTGTAGTATTGGCCTCCCGGAAGCATCTTGTGTACACGCTATTTAAAAACTACCCAAACCTGTGTAGAATCCACCCGGATCGGTCAAAACTGAACCTACCTAAAAATGGGTAAACTGTGTTGCAAGATACAAGTTGACAAATGAACAAAGTCGATCGGATTCATGTCGATGTTGTCCATTTGTCAACTTGTCACTCTCAACATAGTTTACCCATTTTTCGGTAGGCTCAGTTTTTACCGATCTGGGCGGATTATACCCAAATTTGGGTAGTCAAATTTGACGTATGTTTCATCTTCCACTACAACATACGCCCATTTTCAAACAGCAGCAACTGAGCCCTCGTTTTAACGGATGCGGCTTGTTTGCGACTCCGTTTTGGTCCGTTCTCATTTTTTTGGTCAAATCTCGAGCAGAGGCACTTTTTGTATTGACGAAAGCTTGGGTGATTTTCCGATCCAGTTTTCCGTCCACCGGTGCAAGTTTACGGCCAGATTTCGGTGTCCTCGATCTTCCGTATGGCGGTTCGAAGTGCTCCGATATTCAAGGCCCAAACGCTCAAATCATCATCGGATAAGGAAACTTTCCCCAAAGATGGTTTTAGTTTGTTTAGGCGAGCCTTGAATCACGAGAAAAGGGTTTCCGAAATTTTGTTCGCAATAGCTGATGTGCTCTTTTCTGTTGTTGGTCGTGATTTGCTCGATTGGTTCCGATATTTGACAGCTTAATTGGTTCCCGAGAATCTATCCGCCAGGCTATGAATAGAGCGACTATATTCACAATGGGTTCGAAAAATTCCAAGGAAAAATCTTCTGCAAAATTTTTCTGCGACATGAATCTCGTAGAAACCAACAGTTCTTATCCGATTCGTAGCGAAACGCCCAGCGGCTAGTTGTTTCGTCCAGAACAGCTTCTATTCGGGCCCACGCCAATAGAGTTCTACTGTTGGTTCTACCACATTATGGACGGTAGAGAAGGTCATGTCGAGGCAGTCAAGACGGCTGAAATGGGTTACCTCCACCGAAGGTTGGTCAAATGACTGTAAGATGTGGTTGTCCAATGCGCTGGTATGGTGGAATGCGAACGGCCAACGGTATGGACGAAAATCCTCTGAACGATGACAAAATTGTGGCTGCTGAGGATTACGTATTTCGGCAACATATTGGGTGTACAGTTTTCAAAAAACTAAAATCGACCGCGTTCCGAAAACTGTTCAGGTTTTAACCACTTATAACTCTGTCAATAGTGGATGGATATTACTTTTAAACAAGCCAATCAAGCCAAACACTTTATCAATTTTCAAAAGGTCACCATTGAAAACTGCACGAATATGCAACTGTTGCTTTAATATTGAAAATTATCACCGATTGACTGTGAAAAGCGCTTTCCCTAACACAGATTTAAAAATAAAATCCACTCCGGTCTTACCGAACGGTGTTTATTCAATCACCGCGTGTGGTGAGTGGTGCTGTCTAGTGGTCATCATCAGCAGCAGCAGCAGTGCTTTCGACGCGTGGCGTTGTAGATTGTTCTCCAGTACACGACGAAAGGCTGCCCGCAAGCGCGAGCTGCAGCCCACTGAGTGGTCTATTCGCCGAAGAAGGAGGAAGAAGTTGCACCGCTATTGATCGGATTTCAGTTGCTCCACTGAAGTGAGCCACTGTGAACCAGCTATGCCAAGCGCGTCACCGTTCCAAACAACATACAGCTCGCCAGCCTTATCTGTGTAAAACGCCTTAATAGCTCAGCATTACTCAACCATCACGACAAAACGGTCCTTTTCAGGACCACCATAAATTTGTTAAAGAGTATTTTCTGGACACATCTCGCGTTACCTTGCATATAGACCAATCTACATTGATCGATTCTCTTGATCGACTCTATCTCTCTCTTTCGTTAATAACTCGGCTCGGCTCATGTTCAACTGTTATTATCGTCTAATACACTTAATAATAGTTTCTTTTAATAGGCTTTTAATGTTCAAAAATTAGCCCGAAATATTAATGCAGTCAAGTTATCAACGAAAGCAAGAGTTGATGAAGAGAATCGATCAATGTAGATTGGTCTATTTGAAAAGTGACGCGAGATTTGTCAAGCTCATCAATCGGATGTCAGTTCCCATAAGTATAAATCTTACATACCATGTAATTTAAGGCAACATTGGAGGTGAAATTTCAAAAACCATAGTCGTTCGCAGCATGAAAGTGGTCTGATTTAAATCCAGGGACGATGGATTTTAATTCTTAATACGCCAATCGATAGAATTTTTTCTACGAATCTGTCAACATTAAGACTATCAATCAAAATAAAATTATCATCGATTGCCCTCGATTGTGATTGATGTGTTTTCCCTAACACAGATTTAATTTCCAAATACCAAAATTAATTGGCAGTTCAATCTCTTTAAATTTCTACAATTGTAGTGCGAAGTAAGTGATATTTGAGAAATTGTTTGCAAGTTTATCGATATAGCCATGTCGCAGCATTTGCCTACACAATACAAGTGCGGATCACGTAAGAATGCAAAGGAACTGTAAGCGGACAAACATCCGAAGAAGCAGCCAAAAACTAATGCTGAAAAGAATCGATGTTACCGAGACAGGATTAGAACGGCTAGAGACAACATTGGTTTATCTACTGGTTGGGATGCTGGAGAAGGGTCTTAAAGATAACCTCTTCCTTTTTTTACAAGCTTGTTATGCAATGTCGTGCAGGTTCAAATCTCGGTCATGTCAAGGGTCTTTTCGTTTGCCCCTGTGTTTTTCCTCAGATATTTTTACCAGTAATTGCCAATTTTACCAGTGGAGGGTA